CCTCACTTTTTGCCTAGTCACTGACCACTGGCACCAGCATAAAATGCGCGGCTGAATTATTTGGAAGTTCAAGGACTTAAGATTATGTTTCGACTTGAAGGTACACTGCAAATCATTGCGATTTTTCATCTTCTGCATGGCTGTTCGTTTCTGAACTTAGCTGTCTGCTCAAGTCCATTTGTACTTCTTCGACACCAACATGGTCGACCTGTGGTTTATACTGCAACTATGCTGAGCAGACCTTAGTTACAGTTCAAGAATGTGCCACATCAGCGACATAGATGATTTAATTTCAGAGTTGTCTTCCTCTTATACTAGTTGCCAACCACAGCTAGAAATCGCAGTCTGCCCTGCTGTTTAACCTATAACTGTTGCTTACCCTGATTTTACTAAATTTGCTCTTCCTAAGCCAGGGTTTGAACTCACGAACCAAATTCTTTAATCCACTATAGACAAGTGTCAAAAGCTGAACAATACAAATACTATTAAGATCTGATATATCTAGACATGGTCAACAGAAAGATAAGAATTCACCTCATAGATAAAATAAAGAGTTCAGTCGGAAATTCCCTGAAGGTTAACCGGATGAAAGACCAGAACTGTTGAAACGTTGTGATAATAACAAGAAAGATGAGGACAATAGCCTGTGTATAAATAATATAAATAAAGATATTTTTTTATCATTACCGTATATTTCCGCATATAAGCCGACCTTTAAATCTTAAAAATTATCAATCAACATAGAGGGTCGTCTCATACAATAATTACAAAAGGCTAATCTTTAGTCCTGTGTTGTATCGGTACGGGTAAGTAGACTAGTATACTTGCGATATGGGTCACGGTAGGGTAACAACTGCCTCGGTATAGTAACTACTAATGTAAATATTTCTAGTTGAAACAATTCGTATTGTAATGCTGAACTATATTTATAAATGTAATAAAACTACTTTTATTTCTTGATTTCACATTAAAATGCAATATTCAAGTGACGATTACACAATAATTTGTTAAAGTTCTGCTTAGCAATACGAACAGGTAACAAGTAACGCAAAAAAATCTTTTGTTCTACATTTGTAGAACTGGGTTTGCGTTCACACCAATCATTATTTTACATTGTTATGTTAAATAACATCCAATCCGTATTTCTAGTAAAAGTTCCTTATCATTGGGCTGTTAAATAGAAACAACATTTAATATAACATTCAAATTTTATTTTTCCATAACATACCGTAATTGCCCATGTATAATACACCTTCATCCATAATACGCAACCTAAAATTGCGCTGAAAAAGTGTGGGAAAATGCTTCTACTCGTGCATAATGCGCACCCCTTGTTTGGTAATCAAACCCTATAAATTGTTCCTCTCCAAATTCATTATGACCAGCGTTTCCTACTCTTATTTTAAAAAAATGGTTTTAAACATAGAACAATATTCTAATTTAGTTTTATGATAATTCTTATTTTATCTTACGACAATATTTTAAAGAATTTTTGTAGTTGTGCATAATACGGACTCCTGATTTTTCTTATTATTTTTTAGAAAACAATCTGTATTATACATGAGGAAATTATGGTATATTATACAGTATCTTTGCGGTGTTAAACAACAAGGCGCCATAAAATCTTTATTTCTCATTACAGAGTAAAAACATAAGACACCCACATGCCTAATCAAAAATATTCAAAATTATTATGATGATCACCTTCTGATGCAAAGAGTTCGTCATAAGCATCAACATTTAATGGGTTCCAGTCAGTCGTCTTATACTACGGGTATCAGATAAAATCACGAAAATTTACCGACATTTTGGGTCTCGTCTTAACTATAGGTGCGCTTTATACACTGAATTACGGTAATTAATCTGTTATTTGTTGAAAAGAGAAAAAAATCTGTCATTTGTTGAAAAGAGAAAAGAAAATATGTCCCAATAAAAAGCTGTCTCATATCACGTCTTATACGCATCTTACCAATAAAAATATGTATTTCTAAGAAAATGGATCTTTTTTGAGAAAATAGATTTTCTTTTTTAAAAGAATTTTGATAGAAATACTCGATGCTGATCGATTAGGCTAAACGGCGATTGGAATTTTGTAACCCTAGCCAGGTAGACAATATCTTAAGGTTTTTAGAAGACAAAAATCGGGAAAAAGACAGAAAGACGTATGCGTATGCACAAATAATCTATCTATCTATCTATCTATCTATCTATCTATCTATCTATCTATCACGGTCTGTTCACATCTATCTATCTATCTACCACGGTCTGTTCACATCCATTATCTATCTATCTATCTATGGATCCATCTATCTATCTATCTATCTATCTATCTATCTATTTATCTACCACGGTCTTCAGACATCTATTTATCTTATCTATCTATCTATCTAATATCTATATCTATCTATCTATCTATCTATCACGGTCTGTTTGATATCTATCTATCTATCAATATATAGGGAAATCTATCTATCAATCTATCTATCTGAATCTATCTATCTATCTATCTCAGTCTTACAAAATCTATCTATCTATCTATCTATATCAGGTCATTTCATTTATCTATCTATCTATCTTATAAAAATCACAGGGTCTGTTCATTAATCTATCTATCTATCTATCTATCTATCTATCTATCTATCTATCTATCTATTTATCCATTCATTCATCTATCTATCTATCTATCTATCGGTTTGTATCTATCTATCTATTATCTATCTATCTACGTTAACTGTTCACATCTATCTATCTATCTATCAGAGAATGGTTTCACATCTATCTATCTATCTATCTATCTATTTCTTTTCTGTTCATTCTATCTATCATCTATCTATCTATCCATCTATCTATCTATCTATCCAGGGTTTTTTTGTTCATCTATCTATTCATCTATCATATCTATCTATATCATATCTATCACAGTCTGAAATCATATCTATCTATCTATCTATCTGTCTATCTATTATCTATTCATGTATCTATCTATCTATCTACTGAAATCTATACGGTCTGTCTATAAATATCTATCTATCTATCTATAAGGATATTCTAGAGACATCTAATCTATCTATGAATCTATATCTATCTATCAGTATGAGGTCTGTTCACATCTATTATCTATCTATCTATCTATTATCTATCTATTATTATCTATCTATCTAATTTTGTTCACATCTATCTATCTATCTATCTTTCTATCTATCTATCTTTCTATCTATCAAAATCGTTATCTATTTATCTAAATCTATTTATCTATCTATCTGAAATAATAAATCTATCTATCTATTAACATATCTATCTATCTAATCTATCTATCTATATATCTATCTATCACGGTTATCTATCTATCTATCTATCTATCTATCTAAATATCTATCTATTATTGATTCCATCAATATTCTGACCATATTCAAATTTCTATATATTAATTTTTATCTGAAAATCTATCTGGTTTTCTTCTTTCATTCTATTATCTATCTATCTAAATATCTATCTATCTATCATTATTGATCTATCTATTTATAAAAAAAATTAACATGTCTATTTGATAAATCATTTGAATATATATATAAAATGAAACAAATTAAAGTTACTAATATTTTAAGGACCAATAATGTAAAAACCAAAATATTGAAAATAAATAAATGAATAAAATTAAAACTATTCTTTTAAACCTTCCTTTCTACAGTTACCGATTTTTCTTTTTATGAATTACAAAAATTTCCACTTTTTTCCTTTCAGTTTTCTAATTTAATTAACATAAATAAAAACAATTTTTTGCCAAACGATTTCGTAGTCTTACTTGGTGATGATTTTTGTTGTTATTGTATTTAATAAACCTTGTTTAACTATGACAATTAAAATAATTAAAATAGGCATTAATTCAAAATTATTGATTTATTTATTAATTTAAAAAAATTAGTATAATTATAGTATTAAAGATTTTGATAGGAATTTTTTAGTTTTCGTAGGTAAATTTTTATTTCATTAATTCTTTAGCTTTATAAGAATGAAAAATTAATTCAGATATTATATTTTTACTAGGTTTATCATAACAAAGACATAGATAGATAAAAGAAATAGATAGATAGATAGATCAATAGATAGATAAATAAATAGAATAAATAAATAGATAAATAGATAGAACAGACCTTTAGATAGATGATAGATAGATAGGAACATATAGAATAGATAGATAGATAGATAGATAAATAGAAGATAGATAGAAGATAGATAGATAAAAAAAAAATGAAATAGAAGATATAAAAGAAACATAGATAATATTGAACAGAACGTTAAAGAAATAAAACTTCAGACAACACTGAGAAGTTCGTTGAATCCACCAGTAATTTGTTATGCTAAAATTTACAAAAATGAAAATATTAGTTTAATTAATTCAATATAATAATGACAATAGTTCATTTGAGAACTTCAAACAAGACTAGGAAATTCAGAATAACATTTATTGAAATGTAATGATACAAAACCTGCAAAAGATGAGGTGATATTAGTTTAACTAATTAATTGAATAATGACAATATTTTATCTGATAACAACAAGATCAAAGCTTATAATTGTTCAGAAGAAGTTTGGACAAAATATGTTGATCAAAATAGTAAAAATATAAAAACATTTTACCCTGGTAATTAAAAAAAACTGACAAATATTAATCTTATTTTAGGGTCAATCAGTTCAGAATGGTTTTTTGAAATATTTCATTTAAATAAATAAATTTTTTTGAATTTTTAAATTTAAATAAATGTCTTTTTTGGATTTATTAATTCTTGGTTTTCAAACATAAAATACACTATTTTCAATTTTAAAAAAATGAACAGATGCAAGTCTAATTTTAAAATTTCATTTAAATGTTTTTTATTTGGTGTTGTTCTTTTTTTTTGATTAAAATAAAATTTACAAGAATGATTTAAAAAACATCTTTATTAATATATAAAGAAAAATTTACTATTATTTTGTTTATTTTATTTTATAGTTCTTAAATAGTCATTTACTTTTCACTGTTCAATATTTAATCGTTCCATTATTATTATTATTATTATTATTATTATTATTTAAATTATTTTTTTTTATGAATTTTATGTTTCTTTTTAGTATCGTGTCAGAGCCGGGTTCAAACATATAAAAGGCTTATAGATGAAAAAAAAAAATTTTGATTTTTACCATAAGTATATTAAATTTTAGTACATTCTTCTGGGAAACTTTTATTATCAATGTTTTTGAGACTTGTTTAAAATTATCCATTTTTTTGATTTCTGTCTTAAAGTGTCCGATTACTATTGGTTTTCTATAACGATTTTGTCATGACATTCATATTTCGATGTCATTTTATTTTTATATTTTTAAAAATAATGCAAAATCACAATTTTAAGATGGTACTTTTTTAATGTCAATAAATATAGCATTATTATTATTATTATTGAATTATTATTATTATTATTATTATTTTTTTTTGATTTCTGGCGTTTACACATTTCTTTCCGGGTCCCGCCCAGGGACCTAAGGTTAGAAAAATGGCATCATGACACTTTCCACTGAAAAAAAAAAAAAAAAAAAAAAATTACATAGATAAAGCCCTTCGTAAAGTGTGGGCTGTACTTGTCAGAACAATTTTTTGTATCTCCTTGAGGCATGGACTTCCAGGAATCCCTTCAATTAGTCTACTGCAATCTTTTCCAACCAGTCCTAGGGCTCCAACTACAACAGGGATTGTTGATGTTCCCATATGCCACATTTTTGAGATTTCTATTTCAAGGTCCTTGTATTTTGACAGCTTTTTGAATATCTTCAAAGATACATTGCAGTCAGCAGGGACTGCCATATCAATAAGGAGGCACCGTTTTTGTTTGTGGTCTTTAATAACAATATCTGGGCGGTTGGCTTTGATTGTTCTGTCAGTGTGTATTGTGTAGTCCCATAGAATTGTAACAGGTCCTATCTCCGTAACCGGGTCTGGGTGGTGTTCATACCAGTTTTTTTCAGTTTCCTTCCCGTAGAAGTTGCAGATTTTCCAGTGCAGATATTGGCCCACTCTGTCATGTCGGGTTTTATATTCAGTGGGTGCCAACACCGTGCAACCTGATACAAGATGATCAATCGTTTCTGGATATTTATCACAGAATCTGCATTTTTACTTACATTATTATTTTTTATATGTTATTGATATTTTCCTTTTTGCATTGGTGTTGCAACAAGGATATTTTCAGTTTCCTTTTTTCAAACCTAATGAAAAAGAGAAATTGGCAAAACGCAGATTTTGTCTGTAAACATTTTTAAATATAGCGTCAAAATTGGCCTTTTAAAACAGTTTAAGAATAGACAGATTTTGTATGGATAAAGCCCTTTGCATTCGTCTTAGCTAACTTTTGAGAAGAATTTATATTTTTCAGTTTCATGTTTATCAAATTCTAATTTAATGAATTTAAATTTGTTTATTTTTTCCATTTTTGAATTTGTTGGCTAAATTCATTTCGGACAAAGAAGATTTATTGTCATTCTTATATTACGGAAAATATTTTTTATCATTTTTTCAATGAAGGCTCAATATCCAAATTCTTCAAAGAAATGGAAGTTCTTTCTAAATTGCGCTTCTTTGAATAAAATTTATTTGGAAATCCCAATCTTTTTTTTTCCATGGTTTGGAATTATTATTTTGATATTATTATTATTAGAAATTATTATTTTACATTTAGGCATATATTTAGTTCGCACGATTATATATATATTGTTAATTTTATAAATAATTTACTATTTTTTTGCCATCTAGTTTTGTTTTTGAAAATGAACTAGTTTGGTTTCAGTGATGAGAAAATCAAAGAAAAAAAGATAGAAATAAATAAAGAAAAAAAAAAGAAAGATAGAATCTTTTTTAATTAAAAGTTTTAGATAAATGGAAAATTTGAAATTTCATTTTTTATTTTTTTTAAAATCTTATTACCAGTATCCATATTTATGATTAAAATTGCCAATATTTTGTTAAAATTGTTAAGCTCAACTATTTAAAAATGCGAAAAAATTTTATAAACGGATATATTGCCATTCGTAGAACTCGTCATGATCTAACACAATCATTAACTGAAGAATTAAGATTCACCAGAAAATTAAAATAGAAAAACCGTGAAAGTTTCACAGATTAAACATTATTTATTTTATTTTGTATCCACTTAGTATTAGATAAATTGAAAAAAGTTTCATAAAAGACAAAATTAAAAATCAACAAAATCCTTAAAAGAAAAATAAATTTTTTAATACAGAAGAATTTTACTAAATACAAAAGAATATGAGAAAATGAAAACATTATTAAGAAAGCACATTAAAAGAAAAAAGAACAGGAATTGTGAAGACAAAGGATAACGATTAATATACATTGCATTGAAGATCAAACTAGAAAGGAAACAATCCAATTTTGGTTTAGATCTTAGATGCCAAAGGATAATTCAAAAAGTTTAGGTATTAAGCAAAAGTTACGAACAATTAACAAACAAAAATTTTTATAGAATTATTTTTACATAATGTTATATTAAAATGCCTTTTCTGGATATAGGATAATTTTATTATTTATATTTAATATTTATTTATTTTTATAAATATCTGGATATATTTTTACTAAAATAAAATGTTTAAGGTAATAACAAAAAATTTATATGATGGGATGAAATAATCGAGTTTATTTGGGGAAGTTAATTTTGAAAGTATTTTAAAAAATCTTTAAATATTTAAAACTTTAAATCTGTACATTCACGTAAAAAGGACAGAAAATATTTTTATATAAAAATATGTATTTGAATTAAGAAAATTGATCAGAATCCAAATATTTTTTCTTTAATTTTTATTTCAAAATTTTTTTTTTTTTTTAAATTTTCACAAAAATTAATTTTTAAAAAGAATTTAAATAAAATATGAAAAATGCATTGAAATGATTTCTTTACAAATATATTAATGTATTGTTTTTTATTTTAAAAAATGAACGGAATATTTATTTTTGCAGATATGATTTTCATGTATAAATATAATCTAATTTATTATTTTTCAATTTAGATACAAAAATTTTTTATAAGTATTAATTTGAATTAATTACAGAAAATTTAATGAATTATTTATTAAAAGTTTTCAAAATATTTTGTATATTTTGAAAAGTTTTACTGTTTTGTAGTTTTACCTTCATTCAGATTTAAATTAAAAACAGTATTATATATATATATATATATATATATATAAAAATATATATATATATATATAAATATATATCTATATAAAATATTAAGTTTAATATAC